ACTGCGGCGTTTCTTTTGCGGTTCAGTATAGTATAAAATCCTTAACAAACAATCCACTTTTCTCCCACTTAAATCGCTTTCAGTGTTATACAGTTAATCTGACGAATTTGAATCGTGCTTTGAGGTATGTGTTGCCCTGCAATAAAGTAAAACTTTACTATTCCTTGCTGTGTTCTAAGAAGAACTTCGTAATTTTTCCTCTACAACTAGTTATAAACTCGCTACCTTATATTTAAATCGTTAATTTCTAATGTGAAGGGCACTTTATAGTCTTGTGGTAAAAAAGTAACATCTTCCTGTTAGATTTTTAAAATATACATTCGGAAGAAAGGGTTATTAATGTTCGGAAATTTGTTTTGTATTGTCCACGTGTTATGCGAAGCTCAGAATATTAAAGACACTTGGTACAAACACAGTAAACAAATATACCAAACTTGGGCTTCTTTTCTGATCTAAACTTAAATATCTTATTAAGAGAAACTGAGTTGCAGACTATAATATTTAGAGTCGATTTAAGTAGAAATTAAAAATAGAAGCCTACTCTAATGATCAGGATTTCATCACCAGTTCCAATGCATGATATATCAAATGTACATTATTGGCTAATGGTCACAGTCGTTGAAAAATCATTTTGATTTGTGTACAGTGGTTAATAAGTTGCATTCGTAGTGCTGGGGTTGTACTAAACTATTGGGTTTTACCTAGAGATATAAATGAGTAGTAACGAAAACTATTTCGAATCGGGCATGGGTGATAGTTATTAAGAAAAGAATACACAAATGTTTAAGTTATTGAGAATACAACATATCTTATCTATTGCTTACATGATTGTTAATTGTCCAGGAAATTTAATGACTAATGCTATATCATAATTGGAGTTTGTAATACATTTTAGCCCTCTTTATTTACTCTCACTACGTGCTGGTATATTATCTAAAAATAACTTTTATTTTAACATTAAAAAATGAGCTCTGACCCTATTGCTAGTGTAATTCAAATCAACTGTTAGTGTTCCAGAGAGTTGAGTTCGTTATATTAAAATGATTTTGAATACGCAAATAAGTACGTCACGTGACAAACACAGCCAATATAAAGTTGCGGTGGAACGGAAGGTATCAGAACTATATTGGAAATTGCTTATCTTTGCATAGGATACCACTGAAAACTGAACACTTTTGGAAAGGGTATATAACATCCCTTTCCGACGCAAAACATTCATACACTCAGATCATAAAGATATGCTCAGATCGGGGATTTAGAGTTTCAAGGACAAGGATATCCCTTGTATTTAAGGATGGCAATGAAAGTAAAGGAATATGTTTCAACTTGAGGAAGTAGGACCACACAGATAGAGACTTGCAACAAGTCATGAAACAAGTGAAAATCAATGATTACAAAGGTCAGTGGCAAAAGCCGTCCACATGCCCCAGGCAACGGTACTAAGCATAATCAAAAAAAGAAGTTCAGTCTGGAAACAAGGGGAATAGGAAATGGATTCACCAAGTTAAGGCTTCCTTTTATTTCCCGTTCAATCGTCGCATACCTCGAGCAGATACAGAATGAAACGATTATTCATGCTATTCCATGTGAAGACAAACCAGTTAAGTCACCGGATGCAGAATCTATATATTTCTCTGCAAACAAACTGTTGAAACTGGCGCTGGGAAACCATTGTTCTCTTACACTAGATAAAGTAAATGAAATCTAGCAGGGAGGAGTGGTGTGCTTTGGAGATGACAGCCCTACGCCGCAGCCTTTTGCAATGGAAACTAAGCTGCAGAGCTATTGTCAAGATGCCCGGTCGTCAGATAGTGCATGACTGAACACGGCAAGACGGACTGTAACAACGTGGTGACACTTCAAAATCCTTTTAATGTAACTTACTCATCCTCTGTAATTTCTGCATATGGTCCAGGCTCTAATGTTTCTTAGACAGAGATGAGGTTAAAACTTATCGATACTATGAGAGAAACAATTTTTTGGAAGTTTTACTATATTTCTAAAAATACCAAAAATAGAATGGAATATTTGAAATAACAAAAGAATTCCCTATTTGCGTGAGTTTGTGTTTAAAACGTCGACTTGTTACTGTAAATGTGCAGTAATTTATGCGGTATATATGTTGACAAAGTGAATGATTTAAAGAGTAAATTATTAAGTATCGTGAAGGAAGAACTGTAATATTCTCTTATTTTTTTACTTTTTTTTAGAAAATTGCACTGCGCAAAATACGCCGAATAATTTTTTATTTCGATCTATAAATACGTTTAAGTAATCGAAATCATGATTTGCTAAATGGACAAAGTTCATTTACCAATAAGTGTACTAGATCAGCTGGAAAATAAGCATGGAAAACTTCAATGAGTTAGAAAAAATGTGTAGAAGATGCAATGTTTCGATCGAAAGCTAGTTGGTTAGTAAATAGGAAGGAGGTTAATAAATGCGTTTTTAAGTCGGAAAAGAAAACAATGATTGGTATACGTTTATATTTGGCAGGCAGTGGCCTGATCTTGAGCTCTCTCTGTACATTGGAGCCGTTGGTTCGTTATAAGAGTAACTGACAAATTCTAATATTCGCTTACATAAGAGAAGCCCAAGATGTTGGCCGTGGGATCTGTTGATTAGTTACCTTTTTTCTAGTTTAACAGTTAAAATTAGGGACTGTTATATGCATACAAGCGTTTATGTAGCCTCGAGGGAAAATTCTGAAACAAACAAAATTTAATTAATCTTTAAATATTTATATATTAAGTAAACCAAACTTAAATGATAGTTGGAATTGAAAGATATGTTAATGATATATAGTTTAACTGAACTTTTGGTCAATCTATTCAATAGACTAGAAAAGGAAATTCTTGTGGCAACACAATAGAATAAAGAACAGAAAGATCTATTGGATCTGATGAATATATATATAGTTCAATGTATAATCTTTATCTTTTCTTTGTAACGACTTAGGTCAATTGATCAAGGTTTTCGAGGAGGAAATTTGTTGATTACCCAACAAAAAGGCATAAATATCTTTTAACAAAAGAAAAACATGGATTTTTTTAAGATTTATTACATTACAAAAGGTCACATATATATTGGAATTGCATGTATACTTTCGAAGGTTCAAAACTGATTGGCCACACTTAAATCACGGTAATCAAGAAGGATTCCTTTGCCAGGAGATATACTGGTTGTATGATTGACTTCAACATCCCTATGAAATGGACATGTCAGGTCTTCTCCTAACTATTCGTCATGTCTTCTCCTAACTAT